CCAGAGATGCCACCATCCCGCTCATCACCACCCCATCCCGCTGCCACGCAGCCCTGGCAGAGTGACCTGGATCCGGCGCGGGCTGATCTCACCCCGCCTCGGCATCTCCAGTGGCAAAGCCAACGGAGGGGCCACAGGGAATCGGGGGGTATTTTGGATCGCCAACGGCACGCGGGTTCGCAGGGGGGGGAAATAAGACGGTGTGAATGCCACCATCCCGCTCATCACCACCCCATCCCGCTGCCACGCAGCCCTGGCAGAGTGACCTGGATCCGGCGCGGGCTGATCTCACCCCGCCTCGGCATCTCCAGTGGCAAAGCCAACGGAGGGGCCACAGGGAATCGGGGGGTATTTTGGATCGCCAACGGCACGCGGGTTCGCAGGGGGGGGAAATAAGACGGTGTGACACACCAGGAGATTAAATTTCTACGCGTTACCAGTGGTCACTTCTCTGACGCGTCATGGAGGGTGCTTTTTATGGAGAGTGTAAAATTAAAACAAACACATATTGCATTACAAGGCCGCTTCAAAGGTAAAAATAGCCCGGCGACTAACTCGAACCTCAACTCAGCAAAAGCAAAATCGCACGCCGAGGAACCATATGTTTTACTGAACCCAGGCAAAAGGGTCAAAAAATGTGCGTCTTGCATCGGGTTCTGCTCTTTCAGGCTTTATCTTTAAATCTGAACTCGGCTGCTGCCGTATCTCGTAACCTACTGCCGAGTCTCAGCTTGTGCTTTTCCCCCAGGTTTCCCACCGGGAGGCAACTGAAGACCCAAAGCCCCCAGCTCTGCGCACCTGCCCTCCCCCAAGAAGGGTTCCCATGCTGGAAAATAAATAAGAAGATCTCTGGTGCACGTTTTGCATTGGTTTTCAAGGCTGTTGATCTTTAAACTAAATTTATGCCTGCTTTTTTTAAAGGTCTCGTCATCCGGCCCTGCTGGGCTTTGCTTCCGATCTGTTACCCATGGGGACTTACTCCCTGACAGCTCCTTCTGCACCTGGAGATGAGTGGTGGCACTGAACGAACACCAGTTTTCATCACCATCACACAAAACCATCAAGAACACTCAGAAAGACGAACGGCATCACTCTACAGTTGATTCTGCTGCCCTCAAAACAGGCACAATCCTCACTCAATCCACTGCAAGTTTTATTTCACGCTCTGCGGCAGGAGGCATCTCATCTCTGACACGTATTTCCCTTCGAGTTTTACCCATTGCATCACATTATTTACCTTTGTATTACGTCACAGAACCACCTATGCCAACAGAAGCAATAAACCAAAGTGATGCAAGGGTTGGCATTTAGAGGGGCGCGCGCTGTGGGTGACTAATTTGAGATGATGCACCCAGCATGCTGAGCTTTGGGAGTTGTTGGCACGCTGCAGGTCGTCTGGAGAATGGGCAAGATTTTGCTTACTCTCCGTTGGGTGCAGAAAAATACCCTGCAGCTCCCTCAAAATAGAGGAGAGCGTTATCACCGTCACGTCGTTCCGCAGGACGACGAGGGGAGTAGGTGGCCGTAAAGGCAGAGCCGAGGTGCTCCAGGTTGGTGATCTGTCAACAGGAAAAGGAAATCTCGAAGAAAACATGTAAAATGGGAATGGGGAAAAGAGGGACCGAGTATTTTTCTTGGTTAGGAAAGATCTCGTGCGTTCACATCCATGCATATTTTCCACGCATGCTCTGGAATACTGTACTCGGTGGTATAACCATTCCGTTTCCTGGCGTGCGACACGGGATGCATGCGTCAGACACCCTATTTTTATCTTTTTCTCTGTGTAACACAGTCCAAAGCTCTTCCCTTAATAACTCAGCGGCTGAGCACGGGTGACAAAGGCTGCTCTCGGCTACGGCATTCATAAAAAAGGATGTGCCTTTCCTACCAAGCATGCTTTGCTTGGCAATAAGTAGATCCAAGTGGAAAGAGCTTTACTTTCCCCTGCTGGGAAAGTGTAAAAGGACTTAGCTGCAAATACAGATCAGGTGCACAAAGTTTTGGAAGAAGTTTTCCTTCCCAAATAAAGGTGAGGATACAGCAGTCACCTGGTTTAGTACAAAGGAAAAACGTGGGCAAAACTTAAGTGGGCAAGATAAGACCTCTGTGGTCAGTGGTTTTGGTTTTGAAATGAAAATAGGTCATAGTCATAGTTCTGACCCACCACTGCCTATTCTGCTCTTTTCCTTTTTGAGCAACGCTGTTAAAAAAAAATCTTTGAATCGGTTTCAAATGCCATTTGCAGTTATATTGTCTGAAGCTGCTAAGATCAAAATCAGACTTAATTGTGGGTCTGCTCTGCACTCCTCTAATTCTATCAAAAGCGATGGAGTCACTGGTAATTACCACCCGAACCGGACCGATGGCAGCTAAGCTCTTTGCCACTTTACATCACCTTACGCAAGAGCGAGGGAAGCTTTCCCTGGGATTCCTACACCTCTCCGTCATCGCTTTGCCAACGCCCTCTCCCACCAACACGTCTTGATTCTCACGAGCAGATTCCTGCTCGTCTTGGCACAGGGCGCCGAAGCAAATCCCAGCCTTTCCCTGGGCAGATGCGCTGCGCACCACAACACTCAACTGCAGGTACCACCTGATGCAGTCCTACAGTGATGACAACCTCAGGTTTATCCCAGTCAGGAGCACACCCCCCCTGCCTGGATCCCAGCCACGTGCCTGGTGAAGCTCTATGAGACCTGGCAATCAGAATTAAACAGACTGGAAAAACGATGAGCAGACGGAGCTGAGGTGCTTTTAACACTGGAAGAATCAGAAGAGCATTAGAAGAATAAGCAAAACCTCCCCAAAGCTCGCTACAGCCAACGAATTTTGCAGAATTTTTTGCACAATTTTTTGCAGATGTTGCATCCAGTAACCCAAACGTTTCAGCATCAGGGGTTACTCTAGAGTCTGTGAGGAAAACTTCTATTATTTAAGCCACCACATTTATTTTAAGAAACACGGATGAAACGTCCTGTGTGCTCCCTTCCAAGTGCTTTAAGTGTCCTGATTTTTGAAAACCAAACTGAAGAATCAAACTGTTTCAACTACAAAGAAAGCGCGGAAACATTTCGAGTACTGATCTGATATCATTATCCTTAATGATAATGTTGTGCCAAAAAAAAACCATCCACAGGGAACGTCGCACCAGCGGTGCGTCTACAAACGCGTGCGCCCATTCTTCGTACGGTTGGTACCTAACGAAGACCACGAGTAAATACACCCATTTATGCCTCTAAAAACACTAAGAGGATTATCTACATTTTCTTATCCTGCCAGGTAACTGATGGCCGTGCTGCTTGCAGCAGGTAAAGCAGTGCCTACGCTCAGCAATGCCTTACGCGTCCGTCTGTCCCACTTGCATTCCTAGAACTGTTCAAGGAATACCCGGAGTCAGTCTGGAGAGAATAATTAGTGAGACTAAACACCCAGTCTGGGGAAAGGGGACTTCTTTCCCTTTTTTTTCCCATCAGAGTTTCGGAATGTAATGCCAATGCTTTCAGAAAGGTCAAACGACATGAAATCTATAAAACAGTGATATTTTTAAAGCAATTGCTGCTTGTCTCTTCACATCAGAGCTTTGGGAGCTACACACCACACAGCTTTATTGCTGACTTTCTCAAGTAGTAAGTGATTTTTGTTACAGCAACTGCACGTGATGAACGATAAAATGAAACAAATAGACCTGTTAAAAATGTATATTAATAGAGCGTCCAAAAAGTAACATCAGGCAGTGCTCAGTGTCCTGATTTTTTAAAACAAATTGAAGATCCAACTGTTTAAATGACAAAGAAAGCGCAGAAACATTTTGAGTATTGATTTGAGCTGTGAGCACCAAGTGTGCATAAAAATAGCGTGATCAATCTGATATTTATGAAAAAGAATTTACTTTAAGCTACGACATAGAAGCACTAGGAGACATAAGTCGTTGCATCACAGGTTTAAATGGGAAGAGGGAAGAGTTGGTCCGGCGGGCAATGACTGTGATGTGAAGCGAAGGCACCGAGGGTGAGGTCAGGAGACCCAGGCACCTATTGTCATCGGATCATGGAATCATAGAACGGTTGGGGTTGGAAGGGACCTCAAAGATCATCCAGTTCCAACCCCCCTGCCATGGGCAGGGACACCCTCCACTGCACCAGGTTGCCCAAAGCCTCATCCAGCCTGGCCTTGAACACTGCCAGGGACGGGGCATCCACAGCTTCTCTGGGCAACCTGTTCCAGTGCCTCACCACCCTCAGAGGGAAAAATTTCTTCCTTAGATCTAATCTAAAGCTCCCCTCTTTCAGTTTAAAGCCATTGCCCCGTGTCCTGTCACTACACACCCTTGTAAAAAGTCCCTCTCCAGCTTTCCTGTAGCCCCTTTAGGCACTGGAAGGTGCTGGAAGGTCTCCCCAGAGCCTTCTCTTCTCCAGGCTGAACAGCCCCAACTCTCTCAGCCTGTCTCCACAGCAAAGGTGCTCCAGCCCTTGGATCATCTCTGTGGCCTCCTCTGGACCCGCTCCAACAGCTCCATGTCCTTCTGATGTTGGGGACCCCAGAGTTGAACACAGCACTGCAGGGGGGGTCTCAGGAGAGCAGAGGGTTGGAGAAAGATCACCTGAGATCCAGCCACAGGGACCCTCTGACCTGAACCTGCTCTCCAGGTCAGTAGGTTTCAGCTTGGTTTTATTTCTGCGGCTGCACAGACCCTGACAGTGAATTTAACTCTTTGAGGCATTCAGCTTGCCCGACCGTTTCAGAGACCTGGAGAACTCAGCACACCTGTACACCTTGGATGTGGGAAGTCTGGACTGGTTGCTCCTGATGGTTAATGCACTGGGATGATTTTGCCCTAAAACCAGCTGACAGCAACCCACCCCCCTGCCAAGGCAGGCTAATTCCTCCTGCATATCCGCACAGTGGATCTGCTGCACGGCCAGACGAAACATCTGGTACCAGGGGACACCTCAGACTGCGGGAGAGCATCGTGTTGATGTGCCAGAGCACAAAGAGAGCACAGGGGCTTCTCTGGTGAAGGATCCTTTGGGCACGGGCAGGTGTGAAAGCAGAGAGAGGCTGGGAGATGCTAAAGATATGGAACGATTCCACTGTAACTGCAGGGGGAAGGAGGTGGGAGAAATTCTTCCCAACTGCTTCATATAGTGAAAAATATTTCTAATTTACGTTCCAGCCTGTTTGTCTCGTACTGGTAGAAGGAAAACGTGTTTCTGATAACAAGGAAATCACTTTGTTGCTAAACGCAGTGGGAGTTGTCCAAAAATATAATCGCAGGGAGGCCCTGAAGCCCTTCAAAAATCATTCCTGGGTACACAAAGGATTGTTCCCTATCCCAGAGAAAGGGCAGCTCCCCCTGCATGGACACAAAGCAGCCCAGGATGCCACCAAGAAGTGCATGCGTTCTTGGAAGGGCACTGGAGTCAATGGAAACAGCTTGAGGAAGTCACCCTGCTGGGGCTCAGGGACAGGTGCCACCTTCCGCGTGTCTACGGGGGCACGGACCTTCCTTCAAAACCTCCAGTGCAGGGACTGGCAGAGGAAGAGATCTCGTGACAAGCAATGGAGAACGCTGGTATTATTCTGATCACCTGTCTCTCATCCCCACAGCTCACCCTGCAGCTTCAGGCGTATTTTTTTACACTCTATTACACGTTATTTCACCACAAAATCGTGAACTAACCCCAAATGACCTAGAAAAATCATCCTTACATGTACTTAAGTTGTGAAAGACAATTCTTTTTCATGCTGTCCTCTAGATTTGGGAGGAAGAGCATGCTGACATTCAGCATGGAAGGGAACAGAAACTTCTGCCCTTACAGCCCTGCTGGTTTCAGCATTACTTACAGTGACTGCAGCTCCCATCAGGCCCTGGACAACTGCTTCTCCGGTTGCCTGTACCTGGGAGACACAAGGAGAACGTGACCTTTGGCTTTCTTCTGCAGTTACACTTGTGGCCACCCGCACACAGAGATGTAATGCACAACAAACATGCATTTGCTATAGAAAGGTGCTGACAGAAGCCAAGCACTGCAGACAAACGATAGCCAGAGATAAGAAACATGGAAGAGACTTTCCTGGGAATAAATGTCTCCCACCCATTGGGCCAGTCTGACAAAGAGGGTGCCTACGTGTCATTTTACTAGAAAATATGTAAGCACGTATGCCTTGCCCGTACCGTTACCTGGTTAGCCGTATTGCCCATGTTCATGGCATCAGCTACTCTGTTCTCTAGGAAGCGCCAAGTCTCCTCGAAGTCAGGGGATGAATCCTGCATCATGACCAGTTCGGTGGTGTTGTAGATGCCAGTGAGCACAGCCCGACGAGTGTACCAGTTAAACTGCAAGGGCACAAAGAGGGGGGGAGGGGGGGGAGAGAGAGAGAGAGAGGTGTGACCTGAATGCAGATCAAGAACGCAGCTCCTGAAAGCAGACCAGAGAACAGCAAAGGAAAATAGCAGACAGCACATTCCTTCCCCACTCAAACCGTGTAACTCGTCTCTGTGACGCAGTGGGCCACCAGCCAACACCAACATCTGACAGCACAGCTGCCCCCGTGGCACCAGACAGAGGTCACAAGTGCTGTGGCTAAAACTGCTGAACAAAATCCCCACCACCTGCTTCTGGGTGCAGGCAGGCACCTGCAGCAGACAGCAAGGAATTCGCCCTTGCCCAGCTAGCCTGCGTGCATGGTGCAAGAGTTCACCTTTGCTTCACAGCACACGGAGATACACCTTTCCCAAATCTTGTCACAGGAACACCAGTCCTGCCTGCTGAATCACTAAATGCACCAGTACACTGCTGGAAGCAATGCTGCAGGTGTGTTACAACGATAGGTTACACTACGCAAAGGTGCACAAATAACAAACTTCAGTTTTTCCAGTTGAACTGCTGGCAGATAAAACAGAGGAACATTTTTAAAAATGAGTCTTCAACTTCATTGGCTGTTATTACAGTGATTAAACTATTTGGGTACCTAGAAAAAAGGCTGGTTCTTCCATTCATGACTACAAAGCAACAGAGAAATGAAAACACTGGCCTTGATTTTGGAAACAACAGTTGGCTTGAAAGCTCTACTGTCTGCACCATGACCTGCAAGCTTTGCCAAGGGGAGGAACGTGAGGGATGGTGCCACTTGCAGCTGGACCTCTTATGTGCCTAAGACCAAACTGCTCCTGCTGATTCTCCTCGTGCTCCGAAAAGAATACCTGAAGGGGTCTCTGAGGCACGGGGAACCTGGGCAGTGTGAAGAGGGCTCCGCTGCGAGGGACACTGAACCCCTGTGCTGGGAAAGAGGGAGTGGCTCTCTCAGGAAAGAGGGCTCAGCATCACAGTTGCCCAAGAAAACTCTTGTAACCCGTCAGAAGGCGCAACAGAAGACAAAACTACAGAACCTTTCTGCGTCAGCGAGGGGACTTTCGGAGCAGCTCAGTGCACACACTGGCTCTGACGTGCCAATTTGACTTTCACAGCCCGTAAGGGACTTGCAGTTCCTGCTGCAATCACCGTCTTTCAGTTCTCTTCTGGTTTATTCCTTTAATTTTTCTGCCATCTTGTTTATTTTTCACTGTAGTAGCTTCTCTTTTATACTGAGATAAAAGAAGCTCATTAAAGTAGTTTGTTAAAATGGTTCATTTAGCTTTTCCCATCTCTCCCTACATCTACAGGAATTAAAGTAGTTTACTGACTGCTTTAATTAAGGTTATAATTTTCTTTTATTTCCTGCCAGAAAAATTGAAAGCTTTAATAAGCTACTGGTATTTTTAGGTAGATTCTTTACTTGTTTTCAAGTCAAATCTGTAAACACTACTGCTGGTGAAAGAGGCAGCTGCTTCACCAGAGACGCTGCTCGCTCACTGCATACTGGGTCAACTTCTTAGTCTCAAAATCTCAACAATTTGGTCTGTGTCTTCAAAAAAAAAAAACAAACAACAGAGCACTTAAAAGAGTTGAGGAAAGTAGGTCCTTTTAAACTGCACTAATCCCATTGACACTAATCTGCATTAGCCCCACTGGCTCCTAAATCTCTTTGGAAATTAAGACTATGAGGACCTTTGGGTGCTTTTGAAAATCCAACAAACGGATCATTTCAAGAGAGACATGCCCCAATGCCTACTTCAACCCATCACTTTGCTGAAGTGCCAAGGGGTAGAACCAGCGGGTTGGCAAAGCACAAAGACTTACATCTGTGGACTGGTCTCCAGCGTAGTGCCATATATCATCAATCATGCTGGTGAGGAGGTTGAGGCTGGAAGGGATGTTATGAGGGATCAGCAGGATGCTCACAGCCTGCGAAGGAAACGTACAGATAAATGGGAGAGTCAAAGAGAGAGAATACGGATTAAAGCAGACCAACAATGCTCTGCTTGTTATCTTTTCCCTGTTGCTGTTGACTTGCCTCCAGCTCCCAGTGACAAGTCCTCCCAGCACTTTTCAGCTAGCATTGGTCGTTTCAAGCAGCAGGATTTGTGGGGAATGGACAGTGTGGCAGCTGAGCTCAGGCCTTGGCCTGTGGTAGAGCCCAACGCCGCCCACTCGGCTCGAATGCCACGGCGTCATCTCTCCAGAGCGGCCTGCCCAGGCATGGAAACGCAGCACGGGCTGAGCTGACACCCTTGTGCTCCGCCCCTCTGGGCAGAAGGTCAGATCTCTCCTTTTTCTGAATTTGACTCTGAATTCAAAGCAGCTACCGAGGGCAAAACAGCCGCTCACAACGGCCCTACTGGGATCCTTTGAACATAATAACACAACACCAGGAGAGCCACAAACCAGCCACATCCTTCACAAGACAAGTTATGCTAATTGGGAACAAAAACATGAATCCTGTCTTCTCTCTCTGCAAGGAGAGCTGGATTCAGCCAGCCAGAGGCCAGCAGTGATTCTGGACAACATGGGCTGACTTTGCAGCAATCTTTACAGCCCAAGGTCAGGAACTCTTCACTTGTTACTGAGGCCACAATTCAATTCCCTTCTCAATCCGGGCAGAAAGGCTCCAGACTGTCCTGGTTTTGGCTGGGACAGAGTTAGTTCTTCTTTGTAGCAGCCAGAAGAGCTCTGGGTTTGGGATTTAGTCTGGGATTTGCTGTGAGTAGAACGTTGACAGCGCACTGATGGTTACAGTTGGTGCCGAGACATCAAGGGCTTTCCAGCTTCCCGTGTTTTGCCAGTGTGCAGGAGCACAACAGGCTGGGGGGGAGCACGGCTGGGACAGAGAGCCCTCAACTCCCCTTAGGATTTGAACTTAGACTCAGGATTGAGGGACAAATTGGCCAATGGAGTATTCCATATCATGCAGGGTTGTGCCCAGGTGAGGGCTGACTGGGAAGAAGCGCTCTTGCTCTTCCAAGGGCTCTCTCAGTCTCTTGGAGTTCTCTCTCTCTCTCCCATTCTCTTTTTGGGCCTCTTGCTCTTCCCGGATTGCCGTGTCGGGACTTATCTGTTTCGGAATCATTTGCCAGGACAAGACAGGCACTGGTCACCGGGTGGTAAGCAGTTACACTGTGCATCACTTGTGTGTATATATT